AGACCTTTCACATCTCCTTTGCCTAACTTACCTCTGAGGACTGTTTTGGAGAAGGACACTATACACTGCCCTGAGCTCCTTGACAAAAGTATGGGATAAAGGTGTAATATGTACCTGAAGAGGCCCTCGCCTTATTTTTCAGCATAACTGTAAATTGTACAAGGTATTTTAAAGAAAGAACTAGCATTATCTTTGTAATGTGTGTTCTGTTGTTATGTTCAGTGGGATATTTTTCACATATGTTATTTCCTTCTTTCTGTAGGTGTTCTGGATTGTCAGTCATGGTAGGAAACCAAACTGATGAATGCTTCTTTTGGCTCCTTGGCCTTTCCAATGATCTTCAGATCCAGATTCTCCTCTTTGTCCTATTCTTGTTAATTTATCTGTTAACTGTAGTGGCAAATGCTATGATCATGCTGGCTGTAAAATCAAACCCTAATCTCCAGAACCCCATGTACGTCTTCTTGAGTCATCTCTCTTTCCTTGATGTCTGTTACTCATCGGTCACAGTCCCAAAGATGCTGGAGACCACCATTGCCAAAGAGAAGACTATATCTGTCAGGGGATGCTTTGCTCAGGCATTCTTTATTTTGTTTTCAGTCACTACAGAGGGTTTCATTCTCTCATCAATGGCTTATGACAGGTACTGTGCCATATGCAAACCACTGCATTACATGAACATCATGAATATAGCATTCAGCTGTAAGCTAGTGGTTACTTCATGGACAATTGGATTCTTGAATGCACTTGCAAACACCTTGCCACTTTTACGGTTAGAATTCTGTCGGTCAAATATCATAAAACACTTCATCTGTGAGCTCCCTTCCATCCTTCCTTTGTCCTGTTCTGACACATTCATGAACAAAATGTTGTTCTTCATGGCTGGAGGCACAGTTGGTGTAGTCACCGTTTCCCTCATTGTGGTCTCCTACATTCATATCATTTCTACCATCCTGAGAATCAGCTCCACAGAGGGGAGGCAGAAAGCTTTCTCTACCTGCAGCTCCCACCTCAGTGTAGTGATTCTTTTCTATGGGACAGGTTACTTCCGCTATCTTAGACCAAGCTCAGCATCATCTGTGGTTTGGGATGAAATACTTTCCATACAATACAGCATCCTCACACCATTACTAAACCCCATCATCTACAGCTTACCAAACAAGGAGATGAAGGCATCATTTAAGAAGATGTTAAAATGGTGAGAGTCTGGGATCTTTTCGAAAATAAGGATCTGTCCAACTCTTCACCGACATGTTTTCTTGATTATGAATAACCTAATCTTGTTTCTAAGGTAGAACTAATATATTGGGAAATATCTATTGTTCCTCCTTCCCCGTTTTTGAACATTGTACCAGCCACATCACATGAGAGCCAGCATGATATAATGGTTAAAAGAGTCTGAGTAGGAGTTGAAAGTCCCAGCTTCGAATCCCAAGTCTGCCTGTTATACTATCAAAAATATCTTAATGAAAAATTATACAGAATACGGTAAGTGAAACGTCTTACTGACCTAATCTTAGCCATTCATGTTGGTTGGAAAGACATTTTATTTCTTCATTACAATTTTCATTAAGAACATTTCAATAGTACAACCCAAATATATGTACATATACTAATATACCATTATGCATTGTGGGATTAGATAAATGTGATTAATAGCTGATATTTTTATATATGAGCATGAAAATCATGGAACAAAATCAATGATCTTTCTAATGTCTCCATTTGACTATGAGGAATAAAATGCACTTGTGAGTATTTATTAACATCATCATCATCAACTTCCCAGCACATTTTAAAGGTATTATTGCATTTTCTAGGTGTTTTAATTAAAATATTCATTTTTTGCCCTCATTTTTCAGCAATCATTTCACACATGGTCTGGCTAATTATATCAACCCTTGTTCTTGGTATGTATTTGTGAGCACTGAAGAAGTCTCATAGGGCTGATTTGTGTTTGGTCTTGTTTACTGTGCCTTTGTTTGTGAACTCTCCTCTTGGAGGTACTCACTGAGTCTGATTTACTCTTCATTTTGTATAACATCAGTTTTGAGATACTAATTTGTTTTATATACTGGCCTGATACCTGTGCTTCACTCTGGTATTTAGGTTCCGTAAATCCAGTTGTAATACCGATGATGTGAATTTTGAAATGTAACATTTGTTGTAGGAATTCTAATGGAGAAGACTGTAGCGTAAAAAATGAAGTGAGACATATGTACTCCCCCCCTCTACTGACTCCCCACCTGAACCACGACAACTACATATTCAAAACACCATCTGCTCAATCAGATATTAAGGAAGTTCATATGAACCAATTTTCTAGAACCTACTTTGTGAGAAGTTAAGTAACCTAATAAAGGAAACCACTTTTCTACAAATTTGGGGTATTTTTCCATAGTAGGTGGGAGTGTGGCTAGACCCATTGGTGAGGTCGGGCCAGCAGCATAGCTAAGTTGATCCTGCTGGGGTGGTGGCCATGATGGATTAAAGTACCCTGGCCCTGTTCCTACACCTGACGGACACTCATCTGTATGGTGTTGGGGGGGATGGTGTTTAAAGGCATTGGGGAGACTGGGCCAGCAGGAGGGCTAAGGCAATCTTGCTGAACAAACCTCCCTGATGGCTGTAAGCATCCCACCTCCTGTCTTACACCTGACAGGCAGCCACCTGTCCAGTGTAGGAGGGGGAGAGGAGGAGTATTAGAAGCCACTGTGGAGGCTGGGCCAGCAGGATGGCTTTAAGCACCCGGCACCCACTGCTGCACCCTGCACCCACTGGTGTAGGAGGTGGAGGGGAGTGTGTTGGAAGCTATCTAGGAGGCTAGACCAGCAACATTGCTGCACCGCACAGGTGGTTTTTGGCCATTCTTGATTTCCTTAACTGTCATTAGCTCTCTGCAGTCTCCTGTAACAGTTTTTTTTAACCTCAGAACACTAAGCTCTGCAGCTGACCAATCAGAGCGTGGGGGGGGGGTACAAGGAGGCAGCAGCCTGGCAGTCACACAGGAAGCAATGGGTGGGAGTGCATTTTACCCCTTTTGACCCCCTTAGGGGTTGAATTTCTAAAAATCCCTTTGTAAGGATCTACGGAAGGCCTTTCATTGCAAAATGTTGGTTCAGGCCTGAGGATAAAAACACAGGCCGCCAAACCTTACAAAAAGCCTTTTCTTGCTAAGACTTGCTGACTCATGCTGACTTGCTGACAGGAAAATCAACGTGTCTGTTAAAGCTTAGTTAAGTAAATAATGGCTGAACTTGATATATACAACATTAGCCATAAAAGGTAATGGGGAAGACGATTGCTGCAGAGAGGAACTTGTATGAGACAAATACTATAATTATTTCTCTTTCTTTCCTTTTCATTTAGATTCCATATGCATGTATAACAGTTTATACACAATCATAATCTATGCACATCTTAAACATTAAACATATATAGTTAACCACAGAAACAGAGCTTATGGGGATTTTAACTATGCTACGGAAAGCATGAAGCTTTCCAGACATGGGCAGATAGTAGTAACATATATAGACCCAAATTAGGAAGTGTGACACAAGGACATCTTACTGTGGGTCAAAGTGACCCAGTAGAGGGAGGGGGGGATTTCCAGAAATGGAAATCCCCGGGAAGATGCAATAAAACAGACAGTTTTAACTATTGAGAAAAGCAACTTGAAAGGTCAAAGCTTCTGACTGGTTAACTGAGAAATAGGAGAGGCAAGGAAAAATATCATAAAAGGAGAGACCTGGGCATCATTAGCGTTGGGTCAAAGGAAATAGGAGATTGCTCCTGTCTTCTTGCTCCGATCTTTTGTCTCCATTAGGAACCCAGAAGGGCCATCATCTTTGTTCATCACAAGTGCTCAAGAGGGGTGAGATGTTGTGAGATAACTATGCTTAATGAACATTTGGCCAAAACTGTAACAAGTAACTAGAGAACTGCACAAATGTAACCTCTTTGCAAAACTGCTATTTGAAGCCATGCTTAAATAAATTCATAAATTTACAGATGGGTCTGAGTCTTCCTCTTGCTGATGGCAAGTCCATTTATAATTACTGAGCATAAACACAAAGATCCCGCTCGCAAGCCAAGTAGCACAAGCTGACAGGAAAACAGCTAACACCTTCTTAGTGAGCTTCTACATCATGGTAGGAGTGCTGTCACCGAATTTCATGTTTCTAGGTCCAGGGGTTTGGCCTGGGCATGATTTTATGGTGAGGGGCCTTTCTTTTATAAATATAGATGGGAGCTGCCTTGATGGCAGTGGGAGAGACCCAATCAGGCCCCACATAGATCTGGTTGGAGCTGCATTGACATTAGCAAGACCGGGGCTTTTCTGGCTATACATTCACTTTATGGAGTTGTCCCGGTGGCAGCAAGATTAAGCCTGCCTGGCCAAGTTATACAGTGGATCAGCAGGTAGCAATCCAAAGTTTTCAAGAGTTATATTGAATAATGCAGGATGATTCATGTTTCTTGCAGGTGCAAGCATATCACACAGCCCAGTCAGGGTCTTAACCCTGGGCCACTCCACAGTCATTAGTGCAAAGAAAAGAGGCCAAGGTCAACATTGATGGGACTCAGCTGTGTCTGCCTCTTCTTGCAAGCTTACAGTAGTATGGGAAGGGAGGGATGAGGTGGTACTGGCTTCTGACCTACCGCCATCAGGTCTTGAGAGAGGGCAGGGATCCGATGTCCTTGTGTGGCAAGGAATGATTTGGTGCAAACCAAAGGTTTTACACTGCTGATAAGAGCTCTCCAGGATTAAAAGGAGATTAGGGAATATTGCCCAGGAGTGCTGAGGGGGCTAAATGGAATTCCTCCAACGGTGAATCTAGAAGGGTGCTGTTGAGTCCCCCCCCCATTAAAAAGGACAGTCTCCAAGCCAACATGACTATTAGATGTGCAGTTCTGGAGATGGGGGCACTTTCATCTCCCATCCTCCCATCCACCATCCGCTGCACTTTTATAAGAACTATAGGGCCCATCCTTCCATGGAAGGATGATATTTAACTGGCTGATCTTCATCAAGGCCTGCGTGATGTTATAGTTGGCAGTTTGGGCAAGGTGTGTTAAGCTAGGCTAACCCCCCTTGTGTGGAAGGAATAGGACAGGCTGGTAAAAATAATTTTCGTTAACTACTAAGTACCCTGAGACATCTGCATTGGGGTGTGTGTCCAGAACAGGCCATCACATGCCTTGCAACTGGGTGCACTGGAAGGAATATCCTTGAAGATTAGTGGTATTTTCATAACCTATGGTCACCAACCCCTAGGTGGAACCTGGAGATCTCTTGGTATTACAACTGTTCTCCAGATGACAGAGATCTATTCCCCTGGAGAAAATGGCTGCTTTGGAGGCTGGATTCTACAGCATTATACACTGGTGTCCCTCCTCTCCCCAAACCCCACCCTCCCCATGCTCCACCCCCCAAATCTCCAGATATTTCCCAACCCAGAACTTGCAACCCTATTGTAACATGGTAGGAGCCTTCCAGTTCCTCATGAGAGAAAGATAAAGCTGGCTGTGCATGTGGTGGTAAGCAAGACTGGAAGAAGTTACAGCCAATTTTGGATGCCTAGTGGAGTCTATCTTCAAAATCAACAGTTTATTAGAGGAACCGGTGATGTAGAACATGTATTTAGTTAATTTAAATACTTATTTAAATAAATGAAACTAGTAGAACCCACATTCTGCTGTCTCATATCATCATTTGGGGGAGTGTCAGGGCAAATGAAATACGCATCCTTCAAGGAGACTGCTTCATGGGGATTGAAGGGCAAAAACGGAAGCACAAAACTGAACTGTTCCCTGAGAATTCTAGTTAGACTGTTATCTGGGTAGTTTTTGGATCATACAAATAGAGAGAAAAAGGGAAACATAGACTATTGGACTCCCTCTGTATCTTTTAGCCAGCATGGTGTAGTGGTTAGGTGTGGTGGATTCTAACCTGGAGATCTGGGTTTGATTTCCCACTCCTCCATATGCAGAAGCTGGGTGACCTTGGGCCAGTTACAGTTCTCTCAGATCTCCCTCAGCCCCACCTAGCTCACAAGGTGGCTGTTATGAGGAGAGGAAGGAAATGTAATTGTAAGCTGCTTTGAGACTTCTTAGGGTAAAGATAAGCGGGGTATAAAAACCAACCATTCTCCATCTGGCTGCATCTATATGAATATATTATGTCTAGTGAATCCCAAAGCAGGGGAGCAGAGGTTCTTAGCCAGTTTCCTAACTAAAGTGATGGGTTTAAACTAATTCCCCAGTATCGGTTCCAAACGAGCACAAGATGGGATGGATGCAAAATAGCTGGTGGGCTTGTCAAGCATCCTCTGTAGTGAATTCAGTATTTTTTTTTAATATGGGATAGATAATCTTATATAGTAATACACATTTTGATGGTAATAAACATCTCATATGAAAAACAATGGCCACAAAATTTTATTTGGCTGATACGACCTGGATATTAAAACATGTATTTGTCTACATAATGGCAATGCATTGATCAATTTGCTTAACAAGAGTCTTACATGACATGAGAAAGCAATGGTTTGTAGCCCATTAATTGTTTTATAGCTTCCTTCATATCCTTGGTTTTCAGGCTGTAGATGATGGGGTTCAACAAGGGGGTGCAGATGCTATACTGAATGGAAAGGATCTCTTCCAGAACTATTGAAGAGATCAAGTCAGGCATCGTATACCTAAGCCAGCTAGAGCTATAGAACAAAACCAGAACAGTGATGTGGGGAGTGCATGTAGAGAAGGTTCTTCTTTTAGCTTCTGCTGAATGCATTTTACAGACTGTAGAAAAAATGTGGAGATAGGACACTGAAATAAGAAGAAATGAAGAAATCCCAACTGCATTAGCAGTAATAGAAAGTATGATCCTATTGATATAAATGTCTGTGCAGGATAAAGCCAGTAAAGATGGTTGTTCACAGCTGAAGTGCCTGATAATATTTTGACCACAGAACATTAATTTCAACAAAGGTAAAGTATTTATCAAACCTTGTATGAAACCAATGGTCCAAGCACCTCCTATCAGCAATCTACAAAGCACCCTGTTCATGATTTGTACATAATGTAAGGGCTTGCATATAGCAGCACATCGATCTAAAGCCATAACTGCAAGAATATAAAGTTCAGTGCATCCTGTCATAATGATGAAGAAGATCTGGGCAATGCAGCCATTGTATGAGATTGTGTGGCTTGAAAAGAAATTTACTAGCAACTTAGGCACCGTAGCTGATGAAAAGCAGAGGTCAATAAAAGACAGGTGACCGATGAAAAAGTACATGGGGCTCTGGAGGTTATCGTTCTTCCTTATTACTGCTATAATCACCAGATTTCCCAGCAGAGTTATTGTATATATAAACAAAAACATCAGGAAGATGAAAATTTGGACTAGCAGATTGTCTGAAAATCCCAAGAGGACAAAATAAGTCACTGCAGTCTGGTTTTCCATTTCTTTTTCCATTTTTTGTTCAGCAAACAATGTAAGCTGCAAAAATCAGACAGACAAAAATAATTAGGTATGGTGAGTTAGATGTGGTCTGTGGTGCAACAACATGTCATCAGGTTCCACCATATTTGGCAGCCCGTGACAGGTCCTAGCTACGGGTGAGCATCCAGATATATTGCAACAAAAAAACCCAACACCATTATTCCCTATTTTTGGGGATCCCAATACCAGCATGGTATTTGGATTTAGGTTTTATTTGGGAATCTCATATTACTCATCTGTATTATAGCCTATGGGGAACATATCTGGGGGTGTGGGGGCTGTTTTCATTAAGCTAGAGGCAACAAATTGGGACCCTTATCCAAAATCTGGAAGCTGCAGCTAGTGCAAAATGCAGCAACTAGGCTGTCAATGGGCCACTCTATACGAGAGCACATCCGTCCTGTGCTGAAGGCTTTGCACTGGCTGCCAATAGCTTACTGGATCCGTTTCAATCAGACACAGAATCTTCTGACTCTCCCTGGCCCAAGGGATGGCAAATTGGTCATTACTAGAACTGGGGCCTTTTCAGTTGTGCCTCCACACTGGTGGAACGAGCTCCCAGATAACATCAGAGCCCTGCGGGACCTTTTACAGTTCCGCAGGGCCTGTAAAACAGAACTCTTCTATCAGGCCTTCGATTAGGAGTCGCCACTGACAAAAAAAGTCATGGGAACATATTACGGCCGTATGAAACATCGGCGAACACTGCCTGCCACTTATACTGAATGCCACCATCATTTGTAAAGTGATACTTTTACAATGTCATGTAGGTTATCTATTTGTATTTTATTGTATTTATTGCTTTTATTGTTTTATTGTATTTAATGCTTGTTTGCCACCTTGAGTCAGTTTGCTGTCAAGGCGGGATACAAATCAAAATAATAAATAAATAAATATAAAAACAAACAAACAAACAAACAAACACACACATCATGTTCAACCGGAGAATTTTATTATTTTCAGGGAAAAAGAAAAAAACTGCAAAAAACAGAAAACAACAACTACAATAACAACAAACAATGTCAAACCCAACATAAACTACAGTAGTGAAGTTCATACTTAGTTTCAACTTTACAATTAGAGTATAGTTGAATCTTAACATATTTTACACACCTGTGCTAGGTTTACCATCAAAAACGTTTATATTCAAATCATTGTCAGGATTTCCATGCATTTCATTCAGTCCATCTGTAAAATCTCACGCAAGAAAATTGCTCCATAGCTGTTGATGCCTGCCCACAGATGAATCCCCAAGTTTTAACAAGATTGGGTCAAGGGGTCAAATCCCCCCCCCATTCCAGGGAACAAGCAAAGAGGCATGTTTGAAGCAACCACTTTACAATGGCTGCCATGCCAAGAACCAACAACAAATCCAACAGAACCAGTGTAGAACCCAGGAATTCCACCACAACCATAAGAAAATGTGGCAACCCCACAGAACTAAGGTCAAACCATAGAAGCCCCAGAAGAACAAATTCAAGCCGGGGAATACCAATTGTAATCCTTAGAAGGCCAGCAAAACCCAGGGTCAATGTGGCAGTGTAAGCCCAAAAGAAACAATTTCAAATCAGAGCGTCCCAGCAGAGAGAGAGATATATATATTTGCAGAACCAATGTCAAGCCACAGAAGCCCAGCAGAACAATCTTATCCAAAGGGGGCCAGTTTTGCAAGTCCAGCAATAGCAGTATCAACCCAGAGAAGCCCAGCAGAACAAATGTAGGCAAGCTAATTTAGACCAGTGGTCCATTTAGTCCAACATCTTTTCTCACACAATGGCCAACAAGTTCGTCCAGCAGTCCAACAACAGGGCATACAGGCCAAGGCTTTTTCCTGATGTTTGCCTTCTAGCACTGGTATTCTAAGGAGTTTCCCCTTAGTTACCAAGGCCACTGATAGACCAATATTCTATAAATCTGTCTGAACCCCTTTTAAAGTTGTCTGTGTTTTTGGTCACCACTACATTGTCTGGCAGTGAATTCCACATTTTAATCATTCTCTATGTAAAGTAGAATTTCCTTTTGTCTATCGCAAACCAACTGCTCATCAGCTTCATTGGATGGCCTTGAGTTCTCGTATTCAGGGAGTGGTAGAAAAAATGTCTTTGTCAACCTCTCCACCCCATGCAGAATTTAATAATCCTCCTCCACCACCACCCATCTCTTTTCTAAATGGAAAAGTCCCATACTCTTCATTTTTCCTCATAGGGATGGTGCTCCAGCCTTCCAATCATGTTAGTTGCCCCTTTCTGTATGTTTTTCAGCTCTCTGATGTCCTGTTTGTGAAACAGTGACCAAAACTGTACACAGTATTCCAAATGAGGCCACCAGATCATTTTAATGTTGGGTGGTTGGATGCAGCTGTAATAAATAGATTTTCCTAGTTTAGTAGGTTGTAAATTGTGAAATGTCTTTCTGTCTGTCTGTCTGTGTGTCTGCCTGCCTGTCTGTCTATCTGATTTATTAATCACCAATCCCTGCTAGTACAAGGCTCTGGGTGATGTACAGTACAATAAAACACAATCTGATAAAATAATTAAAGCATAATATTTTTATTCATATTACTTTTAATATTGTGTATTGAATTATATTCTACTTTTTGTAAGATACCCTGAGCCTCTCTTGTCAAGGGAGTCGTAGAGAATAATTTGGTAAATAAAAAAAATTAAAAAAAGATCTATAGAGGGGCATTATATCAATCATTCTATTTTCACTCCTTTTCCTAACAATCCCTAACATAGTTTCCCTTTTTCACCACTGTAGCACACTGGGTTGACACTTCCATGGAGCTATCTACTACAACCCCACGACCTTTTTTCCCCTCTCAATTTCAGCAAGTTCAGAATCCATTAGCCTGTTTTTTATTCCAGTGTTCATGACATTACACTTACCAGCACAGAACTTCATTTGCCACAGTGTCTCCCACTTACTCAACTTGTGGAGATCCTCCTGAGGCTCTTCGCAGTCAGTCTTGGTTTTCACCATCCTGAATAATTTAGTGTCTTCTGCAAAATTGGCCACAACATTACTCACCCCTAGTTACAGATCATTTATGAAGAAATTAAATAGTAGCAGCCCCAATACTGATTCTTGTGGAACCTCACTGCGTATTCCCATAATTGTGAGAATTGTCCATTGATTCCTACTCTTTGCTTCCTCTCATTTAACCACTTTTTAATCCATGAGAGAACTTGTTATCTTATGTTCTCTTATTCCATTAACCTATTATCTTATCCCGTGACTGCTAAGTTTACTCTGGAGTCTTTGGTGAGGTACCTTGTCCAATCCTTTTGAAAGTCCAGGTATAATATCTACTGAGTCACTGTTGTTGGCAATGTTCGTTCACTTTCTCAAAGAATGCCAAAACACTGGCGGGGCAGGACTTCCCTTTGCAGAAGCCATGCTGTTTCCCCCCCTCAGCAGGCTTTGTTCCTCTGTGTGCCTAAGAATTCTATCTTTGATTACAGTTTCTGCTAATTTGCCTGGGACAGACATTAGGCTGACTGGTTGGTAATTTCCCTATTCTGCTGTACTCCCCTTTTTAAAATCAGTACAACCTTTGCTACTATCCATAAAACATTTACGATAGGCATGTTCAGAATCCTGTACCACTGTACAGAAGCACCTCCAAGCTCCACCTTTATTCAAACCTTTTAGTATTCCCTTGAAATTCCTTGAACGTTTTTCTTTCCCAGTTCCCCCATACTCTGAAATAAGGACAACATACACAAACTACCGACTCATCTTGGATTCATTAAACATCTGAACAGTCTCTGTTAAATCCACAAATCCCCTTACTGTAGGATCCCTTAAAGACTACCAGTCAGGTTTGCTAGCATTTGGGCAACAACACCCTTCTGTAAACTTGGCCACTACATTACTCACCCCTAGTTACAGATCATTTCTGAAGAAATTAAGTAGTACCTGCCAATGTTCCCTCTAAGCTGTGGAGTCTTCTGAGCAAAAATTCTACTGTGTGAGCTACTGGCATTAAAGTTGTGAGCGAGCGATTTGGCTACTGCATAAACTAGTTTGCTCTGGAGCCATCCTTCCTGAGCTAAGACAAAAAAGTGTGAGCCGGAGGCTAAAAAACTGTGAGCTAGCTCACACTAACTCAGCTTAGAGGGAACACTAGTACCTGCCCTAATACTGATTCACATGGAACCCCACTGCTTATTAGTGGTCTTCTATGCAAGTACCCACTCTGCTGAGCTTCCAAGATGGAATGAAATTGGTCTATACCATGCCTCTTTCTTTCTTGCAGCTAGGCATAGGGGAAGCAATAACAAGGGACTGAGAACTTGTCATAGTTGCACAGTTATCTTCCTTCTCATACAAAAAAAATGAGTACAAAGCAGTTTGTGCTGGACAAAATTTTAAGAATTATTCTTTTGTGTGTTGATTTGCATATAAATTCAGATCCCTACATTTGTCATTCCCCTATACATATCCAGAGACTTGGTTAAACCAGTTCTCATAATTAATTCTCAACTCAGACCACAAACCGGTAGGCTATTGCACATCCATTCTACCCTGTGCTCGTTTCCCCAATCCAAGGGAAGAGACAGCATGAAGACACGGAACTACCTTACATTTTGTCAAGTCCTTTGTCTGTCAAGGTC